TGGGCTCTGGGGGAGGGGCGCGCGTAGGCTCCGGGAGGGGCACGCGTGGGCTCGGGGTAGGGTGCGCGTGGGCTCTGGGGGCCTGACCACCTCTGAAGCTCCTGCAGTCTGGCTGCCCCACCTGTGAACCAGAGAGGGAGGGAAGGCAATGCGGCAGGAGGCACTTAGCCAGGACTGCGGGACGCAGAGAAGGGACGGTGCACGACGCGCCTTGGAAAGGCCACTAGCAAGGCCTTGAGCCTGAGAGGTGAAGGAGCAGTGTTTTCTGGATAATCGAGTGGATGGGGACAGAGACGGGGGGATCTGTGTGGCCCCGTCGCCTGTGGTGCAGGGCGGCCATGAATTTAGTTTCAGGCACAATGAGTTTGGGACACCAGCAGGACTGCAGGTGGGGAAGGCCAGGGGCAGCCGGACGCGGAGGGCCCGGAGACCCTGGGTTCTCATCAACACCCAGGGGGCCAGCGTGAACCTTCTGCCCTAGTCAGCTCAGCTGCCGTGACCAGTGCCACAGGCAGAGTGGCTTCTACTGCATGAACAGCACACGGATTCCTTAGTCGGAGCTGCAAGTCCGAGTCGGTGGCCCTTCCCGTCGGCCGCTAGTCCCATCCTGGGGGACACACTCACAAGGCTGTGCCTCTGAACACCATCGCCTGGGGGGTCAGGCCCCAACACACGAATCTGGGGGCACAGCACCTGGAGGGGTGGGCATTGGGAGGAGGGAGGACCGAGCACCGAAGCCCGAGGGCGCCAGCTGCCAGACTTCTTTGCTCAGGAAGAGCACGGTTACCGAAAAGCGTGGAGCCCAGAGCTTCTAGTCCAGGCTCGGCGACGGGCTGGGTGGGACCTGCCTTTTACACCAGGCTGGCGTTTCTCAGGGGGCCCCCGGGGGCCTTGTCTGGGAGATGAAGTCACTGCACCCCCATCTAACTCCCAGGCATTTGCCAGGATTAAAGGAGGAAATTGGAGGTGACTGTCACCCCTACAAGTGGAGCAGTGCGCTCCCGCAGTGCAGGGCAGGACGGGGGGCTGGTCACAGACTCCTGGTTCCCAGGAGGGGCCCTCCAGGCAGGTGGGGGAGAGGAACCCAACACCCCACTCCAACACGGCACGACGCGCCCAGCCCAGGTGACGCCGCCACCGTAAGGATCCGTGGTGACCTGGCCTCGAGTGTGTCATCGCTCCAGAAGGCCTTTGGGGACAAGCTGCTGCTGGTCGCTCAGCCACAGCTGGGGACCACTCGTGGTTCATGGCTCCTTCCTGGGAAGGAGGCCTATAGTCAAGTACAGGCCAGTGGGGCATTTGTCTGCGGGTGGTCCAGACACGGGAAGCCACACAGCAGCAGCACGGGCCCCTGGGTTACTGGGGACAGAAGGGAGAGGCCGGGCACCGGAGCCCTGCTGGTGGCCCTCCATGGGGGTGCATCATGCAGGGTGCCTGTCCCGGCCAGTGGTGCACACCTCTGGGGAAGGCTGGGCTTGGTCTCCCTGGGGGCCCTAAAAACACAGTGCAGCCCCCGCCCCGGGCACCCTGCTTAGGGAGCAGACGTGGCTTCAGGAGGGGCATCTGCTGCTGCTGAGGCTTCGTGAGGCCCCGCCCTTGGCCATGGAGCGGGCTGCACGTGTGCAGGGCTGGGGGGTGTGACACGGGGGCATGACGCGGGGCCTGGAGGCACACACGGCATGGCAGGGACAGTGCACGGTGCCACGCTCCAGCCTGCCCTCTCCAGACCCCAGCAAGCAGGTGGGTGGCCCCCAGGAGCCCTGTCCCTGAAGGAGGAGGACTCGCTGAGGCCGCCTCTCCCAGGACAAACGGGACGAGGGGGAACGAGCCCGCCCCTGCGAAGTGCTCTGTGGGGCCCCCCTCCCAGCACAGGAGCCAAGGCCGCCCCCACTTTTCTTTACAAGTTTTTTCGTGTGCACGTCTGGCAATTTTTAAAACTAATAAACTTTTTAAAAGTCTGGTTTTTTTAATTGATAACTTTAACAAATGTATTAGTCATATGAAAAAAGGTTTAAAGCAGTTTTTTGTTTCTAGAAAATTGAGCAGAAAAAAGAGAGTTGTGTGTACTGCCCCCTCCCGTTTCCCCGGGATTCCGGTTCCTGTGGTGACAACTTGTCACAACTGAAGAGCCAGTGTCGATACGTTATTACAGACTGAAGTCCATCCTTTCCACCCCGGCGCCCACTCGGCGGCGGCGTCTGTGGGGCTGGGCACGTGCGTAACGACACGTGTCCACCCCTGTTGCACTACAGAGTCGATTCACTGCTCTGAAACCCTCTGTGCTCCCCCATTCATCCCCCTCCCCCCAAACCCTGACAACCACCGATGCTGCTACCTTTCCCGTAGATTCTCCTTCCCAGAATGCCAGGCGGTGGCATCGACAGGATGTAGCCTTTTTAGATGGGTGTTTTTCTTTTATTGCTGAATAACATTCTTTTGTCCGGATGCACCGCCGCTGGCCTGCCCATCGCCTCCTGGAGGATGCCCCGGCGGCTCCCGCGTCCTGGCCACTATGAGTGGCGCTGCCCTGAGCGCCCGTGCGCAGGTGTCTGTGTGGACGGCGGTTTCGTCTCCTTGGGGAAAACGCCTGGTTCCCTTTCACCCCCGTCGTCCGGGCGCCCGGCACATGGCATGTGATCAGATGAGCACCCCTTAGCACCCCATCGGCACGACCGGTCAGCGACGGTAGCCTGGCCCTCCTGAGCTCCTCACGCCGCGTGCGCAGGCCTAGTGTCCACTCACTTCTGGACGCCGCCGCCCCCAGGCCCTCAGGCTCGTTGAGGAGCCCCCTGTCGTTCCTGACCTCGGTGGGTGTCACCGGAGACACCTGGGGTCGCTGTGGCTCTTCCCCTCCTTCACCCCCCACCCCGGGGGTCCCCGCAGTCCCCCGACGCCCCCACGTCCGTCATCCCTGCTCTCACCTCCATCCGTGCTCCCATCTGTCGGAAAAACCTTGCTGAACGCGACCCTGGCCTGTGTCCCCCCTGCCCCATAAACCCCTTCAGGTCACCGAGCTCCTTGTCCGGGGCGGCTGCTGAGGGGGGCGCGAGGGCGTCGTGGCTTTGTCAGGAGGATGGGCAGCCTCGCCCGGGGGTCCGCGTGGGGGCCGCAGGAGGGGCTCACGGCTGGAGTGTCACACAGTGACACCGCGTTTGAGCCCAGGTTCTTTGCACCTCGGGGTTGTCACGCTGGGCCGAAGGGGCCTCATCCCGGGCTGCACTCTGAGAGGTGGGAACCTGCTGCTCCAGCGTCGCTGCTCCCGGCCCAGCTAATGCGCCCCCGGCTGGGCCCAGCCCAGTGTCTGCGTAACGAGCAGACGTCCTGCCCGCGGCGCCCTCCTTAGCTTCCCAGGACCTGTCTGTGTGGGAGAGGGCCATGGCCTGGGGGCCTCGGGGGCCACAGAACGCTGCACTGCCTGTTTGGCCTCTTCTCGGGGACAGTGGGCCCCCCATGAGGACACTGCAGCGTCACTGCTGTCCCTTTGTCACGGACCTCATGTAGGCGTGGGGCCGAGCCCTGAGCCCGTCAGCTCCGGCCCTGCACCCCGGTTGCAGTCGCCCCCGTGTGCAGGGGAAGGCCCTCCCTCATGCCCTGCTTCTGGGGAGACGGTGAAGGCCATGCAGGCCCGGCCATGCTCTCGCGTGTGGGGCGCCGGCTACGTGGGGGCGGGGTGGGCCGGGGACGCGGGTGTGCCTGAGCTTCGTCACTGCAGGCTCGGGTGTCGCTCGGTCTAAATAAGGTGAAACCCACGAGGTTTGTGTGGCAGCCGCCTGGTGCAGAGAAACAGCATGGTCTGGGGGCCAGGCTGTGGGGGGCCTGCCCGCGGCGGGACAGGATGCGGGGGGACGGGATGTGGGGGGACAAGATGTGGAGGGACGGGCCGTGGGGGGACAGGATGGGGGGCACAGGACAGGGGGACCAGACTGTGGGGGGTCGGGACATGGGGGGACAGGACGTGGGCTAATGGGACGTGAGGACCGGGATGTGGGGGCCAGGATGTGGGGGCACAGGATATTGGGGACCAGGACATGGGGGCCAGGGAAGCACTCGTGAGTTTTCCTGCTCGGCAGCTGGTTTTTTCAAACTGTCCAAGTTGATGGCCCAATTCACTTCTGAAGTCGCTGTGCAGGTTTCGGGAGATTT